GTTCACGGTCGACCGGTCAAACCGGGATCGAACCGGATGACGTAATAAATAAAATTTAGATCATATAATAATATAACTTTTGTATTAAAAAATAAATTGAATTCACACATTACTAATATCTTATATAATTTTAAATTTAAACATATCAAATCTTTAAATTTAATTTAAATTTAACAAAAAATTAACTTACAAATGAATTAATAGATTTAATATAAATAATTCTTAATTTATGTTATATATTTATATATTAGATTCATATTATTATTTTACATTTATAAATTATTGAGGTTAAATTAAATCATTTATTATAAATAATAAATTAATAAATTAATATTTATAGTATATAAAAAATAAATGAAGAATATACTATAAATCCTACCCATCTGCGTCACATAGATGACGCCACCTCCCTCTTTCTCTCATGTATGGCTGTATGTTCTGCTTCTCTTCTTTTTCTCCAGTTTCCACTTCTTTTAGCCTACCGGATGTTGACTGAACCTTGTAGGACCGATCGAGCCAAGTTGGGACATTCCCCTTTGATTAGGAAAACCTAGAAATCCCTTGCACTAAACCCACTTTAGAGGAGATAATATAACGTCCTTAATCGAGAGTTTTCTTAGATCGAGGTCTAAGATGTAATTAACTACGGGGGCTTGCGCCCGTAGGAAACCGATCCCCACAATCAAATAAACCCTATTCGGTGCTGATGTATCGAATAGGGGAAATCTCGTGAACTTTTGGGTTATAGATATCATTATCCATCGAGGTTGGTAGGTGAAAGCCGCTATCCTCCATGGCTAATCGTATCTATAACTCCATCTGCTCTTCCATCGGCCTGCTTGTGTCGATTGTAAAGGTCTACGACCACTTTGTCCTACGGGATAGTGTGATCGTACCCTTTGCATTCGAACCACACAAGCGGAATCCTTTCGGAGACCCACAAACTCATATATATATATAAACCTAACAAGTTCGGATAGAAGAACTCAAATATGAAAGTAGATCACAAAAAAGACAAACTTGAGACTTCCTAAGAACAAGTCAAAATGTTTATGAAAGATATAATTTCTTTCTTAGACGTGATGAATTAACATTCTTGTAATGATATAAGATAATTGTATTTTTGGCAAGAATAATGCATTGTCATAGTTAATAAAAAACTAATTGAATTATCTTTAGATTATATTATATCTTCTTAGGTTTATATATATGGCTTGTCTCTTGTTTAGTTTAATCCCATCTTGATAGCCTCAAATGATCATTAAGAGATATGAATTTATATAAATTTTAACAAAAAAGGATTACATAGAAAGAGAGATTAAACATGCTAAAATACAATTTTATAAAGGCCTAATCGGCCAATGTCTGATAACTCAACACATTCTTAGACTTCATTTGAGGCAACTTTCTTATTACTTTCTAAAGTAACTTTTTAGTACAAATTTTTTTAATTTTGTACTAAAAAACTACTTTAATAAGCAGAAAGAAAACTGTCCCAAATGAAGCATTGATCTCTATTAAGCATCCCGAACCAATGCCTCAAAAACATCATCTTCAAACTTTACCCACATCAATACTCATGCAAAGTGGAGTATCCATTCAAGCAAAATCCATTAAAAAAATCTAAAAGCCAAAGCACAAATTGTTGGCCTTGGCATGCTAATACCAATTTTCCGCTTAGAAGTGTGTTCAATTCAAAACAAGTGTGCCACCCTGCCGCACCACTCGCCATCCTTATGATGCCTCATTGAGAGGAAATTAATATGTGCGGATGCCGAACGCAATCCAGAGCCCAATAAAAATACTCCACGTCACCCCTACTCGGTACCACGGCTCGGTACTGCTCATTATTGAATGACATGGCTGCACTTGATTGGCCTCTGGACGGTGAGCTGTGTTCGATGTCCGCATAGAATAATCTCTCTTAATGAGCCATATCCACCAACATTTATGAAAGTCAACAACATTTGTGAAAGTCGTCCATGCAAGCAACCATGCAATTACTTTCAAACTACCATAGAATAGTACGTTAAACTCAAATGAGAGGCACGTCATTCCACAAACCATCATGTCTTTTATTATTGATCGCCTATGATAATACTATAGTGTCATCCATAAGAGAAAGCACAAAGTAAAATGTGCTCACCTAATACATGGCTAACATCAAACCACTAAGGTTAAGCTAAAAATGCAGAGAACAAAAATCTATTTCTAAGTATATGGAATCAAATATTTAGCCTTAACTACCTTCTTAGCATTCAAGCCTATATTTGGTATTCTTGGCTCTATCCATCTTTTGATTAAGAATAATCTTCAAAGTCCTAGAAAAAAAAATGATAAAAAAATAAAATAGAAAAATTATCAGACCAATAAAGGTTAGTTAAAAAGTTAAAAAAAAATCAAGTATAAATTAAACATAATGATCAAATCCAAATTATAACTAATCTATACAAAGGCCCAAATGATTTTTTTTAACTCATCGAGATAAATTCTCTGAAGCCACATCACTATAGCTAGTCCCCACAGCATCGAATCACTTAATCCCCTAATCAAATAGGGACAAACTAATTGCAATATCATAGAATTTACCTTTAGGTCACTATGAGAGAATATTGCCACATCAAATAACATTTTTGAGAAACTCTCTCTATGATAATCCAATTTTCATTCTAAAAAATTATTACCTCATATTTATTCTTTTTTTTTTATGTTATTGATCCTAAATATATCACACCTAAGTGATAGGTTGCCCCATCCAGGCCACCTGTTAAATTTAGAAAATTTGAGAGGGAAAAAAACTTAAATTTTATCATACAACATACTCCCTATTTATAGATCTATAAAAGATGCTTTGATAAAGAAACAAATAATTTTACATAATTATAGAACAATGAGTAATACAATCCTTAAATCACTTGCCTAGTAATGGAAGATATTCAACATGTCCAGATGGACTTTCCACAGATCATCATCATAGCTGTGGGATCACTTTTGAAATTGGAGGCTGGGAATTTAACACTCCCCCTCAAACTAGGGAATATAGATCTATCATTCCCAGCTTGACAATCCTTCTGAGAAAAGCAGAGCTATCCAATCCTTTGGTAAGAATGTCTACAAATTGATCTTTTGATGATACATAGTTGATACATATTAGACCACTGTCTAGTTTTTCTTTAATAAAATGTTTGTCCACTTCTATGTGCTTTATCCTGTCAAGTTAGACCGGATTGTGGGCTATGTTGATTGCTGATTTGTTGTTGTAATATAGTTTCATGGGATCATCCCACTTGATCCTTAGGTCTTATAGAATCATTTTGATCCATAGTAACTCACATATTCCCAAGGCAATAGCTCTATATTCTGCTTTTAAAAAGTTTGTCTGGCAAATGTGTCCTCATTTATGGAGTCATGGAATTCCGCAACCATGACATAATCATGAAGTCTGCTTCATCCCATACCCAAAAATTATGATCTCCTTTTGGTCCTCCTCCGAGTAGAAGACGTAATTTCCCTTTCCCTTTTAAGTAGGTCTTCACAAATTGAAACCACTTTAGATAGTTCTTCCCATTTAGACGATAGAAAGGTTGCATGCTATGGAGGTCACCTTGTCCTTGGTGCACCGTAGGATCCTCAAATTGGTCAATGCTCTCGGAAGAATTAATTTCTGACATTATGACGTCAAATAATAGTAATGAAGACGATATAATCCTGGGTAGCAATGAAGGCTTCTCGGAAAAAAAAAAAAAAAAACCCCCTCCGATCTTTAATTACGGCAATAAAGGCCAATACTTTGCACTATATATATATATATATATATATATATATATATATATATATATATATATATAAACTCTCAGTTTAATTACATGTAAACCGACCGAGCCAAGTCTTTAAAGGACTTGGTTCGAGCAGCTAGGGCATGCAAAGCTGCTTCTTCTCCAAGGTTCCTCCTGCTCAAGCCGCAAGCAGGACTCTCCGTCCCTCGGCTTCCTCTTCCGAAACGGTTTGCAAATCGCAAGCAAAAGGCTCGCTAGGTTAGGCTCCGCTCCATCCCACACACAGGAGGTCTTCTTCTTTTGGACACACGAATGGGTCAGTTTCGCAAGTAGTGGGACTTCGTTCAGCTCCTTCCTTCACAGCCCCAGGTAGGAAGCTCACCTCGGTTCTTCGCGTAGATTCGATCGTCCGTAGAGAGGACTAAAGTCATCGATTTCGATGACCAGTTTTTGGGGAAATGAAGACCTCTCTCTTCAATTCCTTCGGCTATCTGATACCATGTTAAATTTAGAGAATTGGAGAGGTAGAAAGCTTGAAATTTATTATACAACATACTCACTATCTATAGATCTATATAAGATGCATTGATAAAGAAACAAATAACTTCAAATAATTACAGAATAATGAGTAATACAATCCTTCATAAATCAGTTGCCTAGCTATGGAAGGTATTCAATGAAACCCAAGTGGACTTCCCACGGATCACTATTCATAGCCATGGGACCGCTTTCGAAATGGGAGTCTTGGAATTAACACCACCCACTATGATCTCAATATACTAGCATTACTTCTATTGTCCTTATTCAACACAATAGTTTCCTAGCTATGGAAGGTATTCAACGTGATCCAAGTGGACTTCCCACGGATCACTACTCATAGCCGTGGGATCACTTTCGAAACAGGAGCCTAGGATTTAACACCACTCACTATGATCTCAGTATACTAGCATTACTTCTATTACCCTTATTCAACACAATACTTTCTTACAGGTGCTAAAAGCATGTGCAGATATGAAAAGGCATATGATCAAACCTAACAGGAACGTTTCCATTGTACAAACAAGGAAGCTGACATTGCAGAGTGATGTAAATGTATTTGGTGTTGTCTTGGAGCTCTTAACCAGGGAACTGTAGATCAAACTCTCACACTACTGGTACACAACTTCCAAAAACATGAACTGGTATAATGCAAGCAAAAGTCTTATTTTCTATATGGATTCCATATCAGAAAAATATTTCTAATAGGATGGAATAATAATACTATTAAAACTGCAACACTGTCATAAATAACTACAAAGAGCTTAGGCATGCTCGTTTTTAAGGCAGCATCGACAAAGAAGAGTTTAAACAGTACAGAACAAAGAAAGGTATTACGAAATCAACATGTCAATATAGCTTAATAGGTGTGTAAACATATACCAATTACATGACAGTTGAACAAGTGAACTTAATAGCGATACTTTGTGGAGTAATCTTTAGGAGCAATGACCAGGCCACGCCCTTTTCTGGCACCTCTAAAGACAGTTTCAACAATGTCTATAAACTCCTGCTTGTCCTTCATCGCCCAGTTGATCTTATTGTTGTTACCAGTGCCAAGATCAATCATAATATGCTTGTTACGGAAGAAAAACATAATTGTGGACGGATCATACAATTCATACATTGTATTGAAATCAGGTACCTCTGTGATATCTACCAGGTATATCACTGCAAAGTTTTTTATAGTTTCAGCAACTGAGGCTAAAACTTCGTCCATCTGAAAGAAAGAAAAAATCCAAGGCTAAGGTAAGAAAAAAAAATTTAAAGGTGTATCTAATTTTTCTTAAAAACACTAAGATACTAAAATGGTTAAACCAGGAAGCCGATTTTAATCTTTCTTACAGTGTATACTTGCCACAGACTCTCAACTTTGAAAAAACCATGAAAGAAATACCAAAACTGCAGATCTATATGAAATGGTATAACATTTTTCTTCAATTTGTAGAACTCAAATATGCCAGCAATGAATCCAGAGCAAATAGAAATGTCTCCAATGTTATTGAATGGATGAAACATTATATATGCATGTCAGATGACATAAATCGAATGACTTGGAGACTTTTTTGGCTATATGAGGCAACAAATCATTTTCTAAAAAATACCAAACCTAAACAGTTCCAAAAGACCTATACTGCCAATTCACTAGTATGTATAAAAATACTAGTAAAATATACATAAAAGGATTTATTATCCATATTTTATGCACATCCTTAATGCTATAAATCAATAAATGAATTGACTACCATTTTTTAGCTCTGGCCTCTCTTGATTGATAATAGGTCATTCTTACACCTAAATCAAAAGCTTTAAGATAATACAAAACTCTACATTTTCATATATGCATGAAAAACAAGTTCCACATTTGCAGCATTTCTTAGGATTTTATCAACAACTATAAATATTACTTGCTTCAATAAAGGGACAAATCATGGATGAACTAAGCTACAAATAATCAAAACCTTTATTTGAGGCTTTGTACATAATTTGAGAAATTGAGAAAAATTACACATACTCTTGCACACATGCTTAGTCCTGATAAAAAAATCAATAATATCTCATCTAAAGCTAGTTGAAAACACATCAACAAAAGAATAATGTATGCCTGAATATGAATTAAATTGAACGAACTAAAATTCATGAATATTTTTTTGAAAATATGTAGGATGCATATGACGTTAAGGCTAAATCTACACCACCTACTGTACAACCTATTAATGAACCTAAATTCGTATTTGAAAAATAATCAGAGCTATAGTTTATTAAAAAAAAAAAACTGGGCATGAGATCATACACTTCTAAGGGAGATTAAACACGTACTTGCATGTGAAATTAAATTAAACATATCTATTTTAGTTGATGAATCAAATGAGTATTATGAAAATATAATTCTTGATGACATATCCAAAGATATTTTTACTAAATAAATGATTAACTAAAGCTGACTTTGTTTTTGGTTCTTAGTTTCAGGATATACCAAATCTTAGTAAATATTTATGAAGGATTCACCGATTCTTAGTAAAAATTTATGAAGAATGACGAATTAAACCAATATTTATAACAATTTGTTGAAGAAGAATGCTCTGAAAGAAACTTAGATTTTAAAATTTTATCCAATTGATTAACTTGTGCTTGGAGTATCAAAGGGAAAGCTCCTAATAGTAAAAATAGTTGGCGGTGGAACAAGAAAAGATAAAAAATAAAAATATTTGTTACAAAAATTAGTTTAGATGTAAAAATTCTAATAATTGGAAAAAATATAAAGAGACATGTAAGTAATCTAAGAAAGTAATATGCGATGCTAAACTCATGCAAAGATTTTAGCTTTTAATGATTTATATAATAGATTATATACTAAGGAGGGAGAAAGATATATGCATAAGTTAACCAAACAAAGATATAGGAATAGTAAGGATTTAGTTCAAGTGAAGTGCATTAACAATAAAGATCAAAAAAATACTTTTCTTGAAAGCTGATATTCAACAAAGGTGGGTGAGATATTTTGCTAAACTTTTTAATGAAAAATGTGAAAATACGATTGACTTTAGGGACCTTAGCACCCTAAATGTAAATAAAGATTTTTGTTTTTATCGACGTATTAGTAAAACAGAAGTTAGAGAGGTTTTAAAGAAAATGAAATGTGAAAAAGCTGTTAAACCGGATGATATTCCAATAGAGGTGTCGAAATGCTTAGGAGATGAAGGAATTCCTAGGCTTACTAAACTATTTAATATTGTTTTGAAGACTAAAAAGATGTCAGATGAGTGGAGAATGAGTGTGTTAATTCTTATTTTTAAGAACAAAGGTGATACACAAGATTGTGCGAATTATAGATGAATTGAGTTAATCAGTCATACTTTAAAACAATGGGAGCAAGTTATGGAGCATAGGTTATGGCGTGATACTAATGTTTCTCAAAATCAATTTGGATTCATGCCGGGTAGGTCTACTATGGAAGTCATACATTTATTGAGAGGTTTGATGGAGAAATATAGAGAGAAAAAGAAGGATCTACACATGATATTTATCGACTTAGAGAAAGCATATGATAAAGTTTCAAGAGAAGTGCTTCGGAGAGTTCTTGAAAACAAATAAGTTAGTAGCACTTATATTCAAATCATTAAAGAAATATATGCAAGAGATATTACTTGTGTTCAAACACTAGGTGGTTTGATCAAGTATTTTCCTATTTCGATTGGATTACATCAAGGATCAGCCTTAAGCCCATATCTTTTTCCTTTAGTAACGGATGTTCTCACTAGACATTTACAAGAGGATGTACCATGGTATATGCTTTTTGCTGATGATATTCTTCTTGTTGATAAGACTAAAGGGGGAGTTGAATGTAAACTTGAATTATGGAGGTCAACCTTAGAGTTTAAAGGTTTTCGCTTGAGTAGATCTAAAACTAAATATATAGAGTGTAATTTTAGTAGTAATAGAACTAGTGAGGGGATTGTGACTTTGGGCAATCAAGTCATTAATAAGAGTTCACGTTTTAGATACCTTCTATCTATTGTTCAGAGTGATGGTGAAATAGATGGGGATATTATCAACATAATTCAAGTTGGATGGTTGAAATGGGGGAATGCATCAGGCTTGTTGGGTGATAGAAAAGTCCCCCTCAAACTTAAGGGAAAATTCTATAAGATGGTGGTGAGACCTGCAATGCTTTATGGTGTCGAATGTTGGCCATTAAAAGAGAAGCATAATACTAAGTGTTGCAGAGATGATAATGCTCAGGTGGATGAGTGGCTTTACTCTTAGAGATAGGATACGAATAGAGTACATTCATGAAAAGGTTAGAGTAGCTCCAATGGAAGATAAGATTAGAGAGAGACGACTTAGATGGTTTGGTCACATAAAACAGCGGCCTTCCGATGACCCGATTAGGAAAGTAGATGTATTATATTTGACTTATGTTAAGAAAGGTAGAGGTGAACCTAAAAAGACTTGATTAGAGAATATAAATGATATTTCTTTATTAGATTTAAACAAGAATTTGACTTTTAACATGACACAATGGAGAAAAAGGACTCATGTAGCCGACCCCATGTAATGGGACAAAGGCTTGATGTTGTTGTTATTGTTGTATCCAATTGATTAACTTTAAAAGTGTATAATTCATCAAATTTCTATTTAAATTGTTTGGGTTAATTTATTTTTAAAGAGATTGCTCATCCATTAAGCATATCATATCTTCATGGATTGTTTTCCTCTTGGTTCTTTATCATATCTTCATTAGGGGATTAAATATGGATCTTTATTATTATTTCATCCGGATTTATATTAACAATTTGGCATTTTCATTACTTGTTTCATATCATATTAGTCATTTTCATGATTTATCTAACGTACATGAATAAAATAACTAGACACAAACTATAACTTAAAGCAATTGTAAACACTTCTCTAATTGTGAACAAGACGTATGCAGTGCTTAAAAAGTTAATAAAATAATGGTGTGTTTGATTCATGAAATCTACCTTAAAAAAGCTTTAAGAAATTAAATGCAAGAAAGGCAGTACATTTTAAAATTCAACATAATAATAGAAATAAAGTAAAAATAAAAAAATAAATTAAAAAAAAACATAATAATAGAAATAAAGTCTATAACTTGATTTTTTTTTAAATAATCAAGTCTTCAATATGTTTGTATTAATCTTATTTCATGAGTATGCTGCCAATTCTTAGGATTCTTCTATCATTCCATCTCCTTGAAATTCACATTCAACATGCAGCCAAATGCACCTATACAACTTGTTTGCAAACCTTTGCAAGGTGAAGAAACTGTTTGCGATTCTAACGATAGATTCCATAAGTAACTTGTGTTGGCGCAATGGACCTATATATGATGAATCATAGTTAGGTAATAGGTAGAGTAATAATTATGTTCCAAATTTGCTTTGCAATTATCAAATAATCAATTCATTGGAGGTAAATTTTTCTGAGCTGGGAAAATTGATGCGGAGAGTCCTAGCATGTTCCTAATGTGATATTTCTCTACCTTATCCTATTTCCCCACATGTTTATCCTTAGCCTCCCAATTTTTCTATGGTGGGCTTCAAACAATTCAGTTAAGGATGAAGATCAAAAAATATTTCTTAGAAAATGATATTCAACAAAGGTGGATGAGATATTTTGCTAAACTTTTTAATAAAAATTATGAAAGTAATATTGATTATAGTGACCTTAGCACCCCGAATGAAAATAAAGATTTCAGTTTTTATCGGCGTATTAGTAAAACCGAAGTTAGAGAGGCTTTAAAGAAAATAAAGGGTGGAAAAGCTGTTGGACCTGATGATATTCCAATAGAGGTGTGAAAATGCTTAGAAGATGATGGAATTTCTTGGCTTACTAAACTTTTTAATACTATTTTGAAGACTAAAAGATGCCAGATGAGTGGAAAATGAGTGTGTTAATTCCTATTTTTAAGAATAAAGGTGATGCACAAGATTGTGCGAATTATAAAGGAATTAATTTAATGTGTCAAACTTTAAAACTATGGGAGCGAGTTATGGAGCATATGTTGCGACGTGATACTAATGTTTCTCAAAATCAATTTGTATTCATGCCGGGTAGATCAACTATGGAAACCAGTGGCGGAGCCAGAAATTTTATTCAGGGGGGGCCTAAATTAAAATAGTTGTGTTGTCTCATTACCGGGTGATTTTTGTTTGAGGGTGAGATGAATATATAAATTTAAAATTTATAAATCTC